CTGAGGAGCAGGTTCTTACCTGTTTCCAAGGACAGTTTATACAGTTCAGGCAGCTGTGATTCTCTGCTGGTTGTGGTTGTCTTGTGCCTTTTGCACAGCTCTCCCTCAGTGCTGACACGGCTTCTTGGAGGCACCAGAGCTCTGCAGACAAGGGGCTGTAGGGCAGAACCTGTCAGAAGCACAGAGCAGGGAGTGTGAGAGTGCTCCTTCCACTGCCAACAGCAGAGACATGGAATAAAGGAACTGTGCTGGGCTGCACTCAGGCAGGAGTAGTGATGCATTTCTGGTTTTAAGGGGAGAAAAAAGACTGTGTGGAGAAATAAAGGGGTCTGAGGTGACTTAACACTGATCTCCGAGGGCCTGTCTCTGTTACTTGGATGCCTCTGTGATAACCAGGCCACTGCAGGTTTGGCACCTCACTGGAGGAGTTGGCAAAACTAAGTGGAAGAGACAGGGAAAGTGTTGGGAGGTGGGAACAGCAGTGACAAGGAAGGGAAATGATCCTCAGGATCACAGCTCCTTCCTGGGATACCTGTAAGATCTGCCTGGTTCCCAGGGGCAGGCAGGTGTTTGCCTGAGGACTCTGGTTGTACAGACCTCCTGCATTTTGGGGGAGCAGTGGCTGGAGGTGAGGCCTCGGCAGAGCCACAGTCACTGTCCCAGGCGGGGTTTGCTTTGTGTCCAGGCTGGTTGTGGTTTGTTAGACATTTAAAGGTGCAGCAGAGAGAGCAGCTGTCCAGCCAGGGATAACACAGCATTTCCCTTGTCACCTGTAAAACCTGGAGGGACAAAGGGGAGCAGCAAAACAAGGGCTTTTTTTTCCACATCTTCCCTTTAACGATCTGCAAAGAAGCAGCGCGAATTCCAGCAGCAAACATATGTCTGTCAGCAGCTGTCGCTGCAGCAGCTGCAGATTTTATCACCTGCAGACAATGTAAACTACTTACTGAAGTGTTTATGCTTAAACAAAGTGGCCCAGACAATACTGTCTCTCTCATTTTCACATTCTTAGTCAGAAGTTTACAAACACGTTGGAAACTTGTTTATAAAGCACCACAGGAAATAGAAATGCAGCATAAAGGCTCATGGTGTCTGTGGGGCTGGGGTTGTGGCACTGGGGGATGTTCTTGTCACTGAAGTGGTTGAGAACTCAGGACTAGTTCAGTGAGTGGGCAGTTGAGCTTTAGTTCTAAAGGCTTTCTAAGACCCCAAAATCTATTTGAAACTGTCTTTCCCTTCTTTCTTCGTTGCCTTCCCCCCTTCTCTGCTAGACACAAGCATCTTCCCGTCTTATGTAATACAGATTTGCTGGGAAGAATGTGTGTTCCCTGAAAACCTTGAACAACCAGAATGGGCCTTCACAGAAAACATGACACCAAAACACTTAAGTTCTTCCAATCTCTGAATTAGAAAAAGATCTAAGACTGAAATAATAAAGAATGCATGTTGTCTGTTCAGAAATGCCGTGGTGAAAAAATTACCCAGCACCACAGCATCTCATTGCACACAAGGGCACAGAACTTACTTATGCACAGCATCTTCCTGGGGTGTGCAGCACATCCAGTGCCAGTCACTCTGCCCCCTGTTTGAGCTGAAACTGGAGAAGGTGTCACTTGCAAGCTGTGAGAGTTCTGATAGCAACCTTCAAGGAAATTGTTGTTTTGGTTGAACAGACTGTCGGTGGTTGGTTTTACTGTTTCTACCCCACAAAGATAATTTTATTTGGAGAAGCCTGTCTTGTACACAGTGTGCTGGGCTTCTCCTCTTCTCTGCAGAAGGCACATGTGAAGGTAGCCTGGGCAACTGGGGAGAATTTCAAACTGCAGAAAAGAAGAGGAAACTGTTTCTGCACTAGACTGTGCATCCCCATGGCATCATCTGGTGCAGGACCGGAAATCCATCCTTCTGCTGGATGTTGTGGAATTACTGTCAGCTCAGGACCGAATGGATGGAAGGATCTTGTAGTTTTCTAATCTGGTTGTGTTAGTCTTGGTAACTGTCTGTAAACATTTGGCAATCAAACCTTAATTTGAAACTTCCCAACTCTTCATATGTTAAAAGAATGGTGATTTTGTTCTGTGTCTTGCCACCTGCTGTTCTCTTCTGTGGCAAAGTACATTGGTAACTATGGGAACAAAAACTTAAGAACAGACACCCACATGTGTTGAAGTTGATTTATAGAAGGTCTTGAAGTGATGCCACGGATTGTGAGACGGGGAACTATCTGGTTGGAGTTTGATGGCTTTCAGTGAGGGCTCAGGGTCTGGCTTTCCCGAGTTGTTCACAACATCCCTGGTGCTGTGGATGTTCCACTCCCCACTTTGTCTCCCCTGTGCTGGAACGTGCCTGTGCTGCAGTTCCCATTTGTCCCCAGCAGTGCTAACACTCCTCCCTTGGGCTGGGCAACAAGATGTGCTGTTTCCATCAGGAAACAGAGTGTGATCAAATGTGGCAGCTGGAGCCTTGGGATGAAGGATGTGTGTGTAGGTGAGTGTGTAGTTAGGTGACAATGCAGCCCCAGAGTGTGTGGCACTGTCACCAGGCAGAGCTGGGGGAGCAGTTGGAGCTTAGGGAGTTTGTGCTCCTGCTCTGGAAGTGCTCCATTCCTTCCCAGTGGGATGGTGCTGTGGCAGTGGGCTGTGAGGGACCTGTGTCCTCTCTGGACTGGGGATCTGGAGCTGCCAGTGGGTCACACCATGGGATGAAGCTGCACCCCAGTGAGTGTTAGGGACACTAATAGGGCTGGCTGTGACTTCCAGGGGCATCCCCACAGCAAGAGCAGAGCTCTGGCATGTCATGGCTCAGCTCTTCCAACATCACCTCGAGCTCTCCCTGCATAGCTGGGAAAGTAGGAATTGAGAGAATTCCTGACCCCTTTTAGTCCCTTCTTAGGACTTAAATCTTTGTGATGTGACAGCACCACACCACAAGTCACTCTTCTGCTCTGGTTGGTAGAACCAGAGAGTTGGGAATGGGCAGTGAAGGAATTGGGGCATGCTATGCTCTGGATAATATGGATCTGACAACGGTGGAGGTTTGTTCTTGCTCTCCAAACTGGAGTGCTGTGACCTTTCCCTGCCACTTATGCACTTCTGGTGTGAATCTGAGTCCACAAAAGGCAGATCAAAGTTTGCCATTGATTTCAAGAGTCAGCACATTGGCTTCTCATAGGGAAATCTCCTGTGGTTTAAACTACTTATTACCTGAAGTGAGAGAATCTTTTAATGTGAACTGCTTTGGTCTCTGTGATAGCACAGTCTGTGTTCTCCTTACTTCAGAAAATTTGCATGTGCTGTGAATGCCTTCAAATGTTTCTCTGGCACTTGTTCTGTGACCCTGTTCTAACTGCACAGCAGAAAACTCCCAGAGAAATAAAACCTTTTATTTTATGAAATTGATGTCATACATTACCCAGATACTGGTGCTGAATCTCTTATAGTCTCACAAGTGAATATATTTTTCTTTTTAAAGGAAGTATAACCCGGTAAAGCTTTGCTCAGTTTGAGGGGCTAATCAGTGAATTAGTTGATCAGCTTTAGCTGTTATCTTTGTATTTGCTGTGTCTCTTGATCAAGTTTTAAGGAATAGATGGTGTTGGAGATTTGCCTCCAGGCAGTGTATTGAATCTACCCTGCAGTGGGAAGGCTCCCTGTCCCAGTATTCCCCAGAGATGTTGTCTTGGAGGCATTTTCTGGGCCTCAGTGCTTGCCTGGCTTCTCCCTTTCGAAGTGAGACAGCGATGTGGTGATGACCTGCACTTCCTCCAGGAGATGAGAACGGTGGCACAGAAGGGGAGTTACTTTTAGGATAAACCTGGAACGTTCTCTGCAGTATTGGCCCCGATAAGCTGACACTGAAGTGCAGTGGATGCAGGAGGAATAGCCCAAATGGAATGTGGTGTAAATATATGATGCCCCAGAGGCTCCTGGAATAAGTGCTCCTGGATGGGTTGCTCAGGAGATGAGATCACAGCTAGTGCTGGAAACCACTAAACAAATGGGATAATGTTTTATTGAAAGTAGACCTGAGCCAAATCCTGAAATCATTTCTAAGATGGGAAGGACCATGGCATTCATGTCTAAATGAAAATTGTAGGGGGATTGTGTCGGATCTTGCAAAGATCTTGATCTTTCTGGAATTCTGATGGTGTAGAGTTAAAACAGCAGGACAACCCAGCTGTAACAGAGGAGAGAATAATTTTTTCCCAGTCCTTTATCAATCCTGTTTATTTAGATTTCAAGTCCTCAAAGGCATAAATTCTTTTACCCTGTGTATTTCAGTGGCACGTAGGACAGGCAGGAGCTGTTCCTGGTTGGAAATTCTGGGCAGCACCATCATATAAAGATGCTGAAATTCTGCTGCAGAATGTAGACAGAACTCAAAGGTCTGTGTCTGCCTCCTCGTGTGTTGTGTTTTGGGACACAGGGTACAATAATGGGTATTGTTTCCCAGACGTTTCCCGTTCATTCTGTGTTAATATTTCCTTGCAAGTTAAAAAGGAGGGAAATACATGGTCTTTGCCAAGAAAAGAAATCAGAGAGAAGCCCAAAGAGAACAGCTTGCCTATTTTTATCAGCAACTGTAGACTTGCTTTCTAAACTTGAGAGAGTCTGGGAGGATCCCATGAGTGTGTATCATGCTGAAGGGACACAGGGGAGGCATTAATAAAAAAAAAAATATTTTCTTTTCCTTCTTAAATGAAGCAGCACCCCACTGCTGTTTGCTGCCTGCTGAGTGTAATGCACCCAGAGGAGTTAAAAGCGAGTTATCCTTTATTTCCTAACATCCACAAGTTTTACCTTGAGTTCTTTTTTTGAAGGAGGGAAGCAAAAGACATCCCTGCATCCTGCCTGAGAGCAGGGAAGCAAGGAGTTAACAGCCTGTTATCCCAGGTGGCTGAACACTTGGGTTGCAGGGAAGGGCTGGGAACACTCACCGAGCTCCTGCGCTGCTCTCTACCTGTCAGCAGCTCCTGAGCCACTACTGAACAGGGAATAAGGGATGAGCCTGCTCAGCCCAGAGGCAGGAAGCTTCCCTGGGAACCTCGGGATGCTGCATTAGAGGCACACGGGCAGTGCTCCTCTCCTCATTCTCTCAAAGAGTCTTTTGAGATCCCAGGGATGTGCATATGGTCTGTGCTGCTTCCTCTGGTGTCTTCACTTGAATCTCTCACTGGAATATGGATGATGCAAGCACAATTAAATGCCTCAGCCCAGAGAAAGGTAAGGGAAAATGTTTATTTGAATCACCCTTTTCGAGGGAAATTAGTTTTGCTGTGGAGAAAAGTGCAGTTTACAAAGCTTCTTTGGGCACTTGTCTTCTCTTATTCAAACTTAAATGCTTGAAACAAACCAAGCAGTTTCTTAAGGGAGCCTTTGCTGTACCTTTGCCTCCTATCACCACAAAGCTTAAATAATAAATGTATCTCTAATGGCTGCTTCTTCCTGCATGAAAAGTGCAGCCAAGGAGCGCTCCAGGTATGTTCATGTTCCTTCTCTGCTCCCACCAGAAGAAAGGCTTTCTATTTTTAACCAGAGACCTTCTGCTACCCACATGGGGAGAGAGGAAAGAGCCACTCCAGTGCTGTTGTGAGTCAGATGTATTGTTTTAATTTTGAAAAGCAGGTGATTTGCTGCTCATTAGGTGTAGTTTCTTTACACCCATCCAGCAAGAGAGCACAGAGTCAGTCGGGGTTGAAGTTGTCCCTGGCGGGCTCAGGGCAGGGATGCTGGAGCTGGAGCACTGTGCTGCAGTGTCCTGCATGCTCAACTTGGAGCTCAGACCTGCACTGATGGATGCCTGAGCAATCCTAGGGATTCAGGACTGAGTCTCAAAAGCCCAGGTTTTATTTTTAAAAGCCTTGTTTCCTCGTTGATTTACTGAGTAAAAGCCCAGAGAGAGAAGCCCTTCCCTGTGATGTATTTTAATTGACTCAGATGCCCAGCTTGTCTCTGTGCATTTTGTATCTTGTGCCTGTTAGGCATGTGGTTTTACAGGAGTTATGCAACAAGTAAAGAGGGCTGTGTTCAGTTCTGTGTGTTCAGAAAAGCCACTCTGGGTGCTCTGGGTCCTGCTCTGACACTCCTGTGTCTCTGGGGAGGCAGAGCAGGAGCCCCACTCCCTGTGTTTGCAGCTGTAGAATACTTACTCCCACATTCCTGGATCCCTGGCCATGTCTTTTGAAGGACACACTCATTAAAGTTCTCTTTCCTTTCCTAAAAATCATTTCTAGGTGAAAACAACATCACATAGAAAAAGCTCCAGTTGTGCGTGGAAATGGCTATTATTTTTTCTGTGTTCTGTGACCATATTGGAAATTATATATTGATAAAAATAATATTAAATCCAATAATACTTCTAGTCTGTGGCATATTTAATGATTCTGAGAACTATGCAAACCATTCAGGTGAGTAATCAAAGGGGCTCAGTCTGCATCAGAACAACAGGAAAATGTTAACCAGTATTTTCCTCTGAGACTTGTTAAGAATGAAGCAGAGATGATGAGATGCATTTGGGCATTGTCAATATTTATTTAAATAGCAAAAAAGCAGATTTTAAAGCTTGGCAGAGGAGTTTATTTACTTGTGCCATATTGCTGGAGTAGAGGCTGGAGATTTGGAAGCATGGAAACTTTAATTGAACTGGATGCTAAAAGAGAGAATGGGGAGAAACTGTTTGCTGTGTGCAAGAACTTTTCTTGTTCCAATGAAAGAGGGTGATTTTCTTAAATCTTCAGAACCTGTAAATTCCCAGGTTTTGGATTGAGTTAATCAAAATGGTACATTTATAATGGAATCACAGATGGTTTGGGTTGGAAAGGACCTTAGAGCTCATCTGGTTCCACCCCTGCCATGGGCAGGGACACCTTCCACCAGCCCAGGTTGCTCCAAGCCTCCAACCCGGCCTTGGACACTTCCAGGGATGGAGCAGCCACAGCTTCTCTGGGCAACCTGTGCCAGGGCCTGCCCACCCTCCCAGGGAAGGATTCCTTCCCAATATCCAATGTGAACCCAGTGTCTGTCAGTTTGAATCCATTAACATACTTCTGTTGATTGCATTTTCCAACAGAGGTGTTTCAGGGCTGAAAACTGAAATAGTTTGGTTTTGAAAATGTCGGGATGGGACACTCTGAGTATTCCTCATCTAATTATTGTTCTCTGAAACATGGTGTACCAGTGTGGATCCATTTGCACTTTAAACTGACAGTGTCCTCAGGGAAGGTGTGATGGAGCAGGAATTGTGCCACCCAAAGTCCTTTTGGCTTCTCACTGCTGGGTTCAGCTTCCAGCTTCTGGGAACAGGTCGGAGAGAGAGGGGCTGTCCCTGAGGGTGTCCCTGGAGGACCATCCCTGGAGCAGTTACTCAGGTTTGTTCCTTGCTGCAGTCAGGGAGGCTGAGAAGGGCTCAGTGTGTGTGGTTGCACCAGCCTGGGGGCTCTGCCAGACGGTGTCCTCCTAAGCCAGGGAATGGAAGCACCTGGAAAACCAGGGGGGAACTTCCAAGGGTGGAAGCTCCATGAGCTGCAGCTGCAGGCAGGGAGCCGAATGAAGGTTCTTTTTGAGGGTTCCACCTTCTTGCTGTCATCTGTAGCATTAAAAGGAAATGGGATTCTCCTCTCACTTGGGTATAAACCAATGGTGATGTAACTGGAGCCAGTGATTCCACAGGATATGAAAGCCCCTGGAAGTCGTTTGTTAAACCATTAAAACATTCCTAGGGAGAGGCACCAACACCCTGGCTCTCAGCACTTCAGTGTTCTGGAGACTTGCCACTCTCCTTTTCTAAGGGGTTCTGGCTGCCTAGAAGCTGAATAGTCATGGATGATGATCCCAACAATGGCTTGCTCCCAGTGATTCTGGAATGTTCATCTATCACTAAGGAGACGTCGGATACTGTCAGTGCCACTGGGAGAAGAACGGGCCATGCCCTGAGTGAAGCATCTTGTCTGGGAAAGTCCTTCAGGAATGTGACAGCTGGCAAACACCTTCCAGTGGAACAGCTCACGAGCTGGAGCAGCAGAATTTCAGCCTCCAAACTGCAACAGGCTTTGGGAAAGATCAACACCCGGGAGTTCTCTGCTTCCCCAGCATCACAGCCACTCTTCCTGCCTTGCCACTAACGATGCCCTCACTGGGTCTGCTGGTCTAACCCTCAGTTAGAGGTGGGTTCCAGATGCCTTGTCTTCAGTTGGATTTAAAAAAAAGGGAGAGAAGCATTGCAAAGAAAATGTCACGTTATTGCTAAGTGGCCAACTTAAAATTAACTGATACCGTATGGGCTGATTCCTGTGATTCAAATCCCTTCTGTCCCTGACAATCATTTGCAGGGGGAATGTGAATTCAGTTACCTAAAAGGGAAAGCTTTCCCATCACAGGGAATTGCAGAAGGAGGGATAATCAGTATTGGCCTCTGCAGGTCTAAAGACATTATGTGGCAGAGAGAAACTAAATTTTCTGGCCTGACATGGCCTGACATGGAGCGAACGTGGACCAGCCCACACTGAACAAAGCCCAGAACCACTGTTAGATGTGGATCTCTGTGGAATGTTTTCTGGAGAGCCCATTTTCCCAGTCCAGCCAGTGAGCTGACTCTTTCATATCAGCCTTCAATTCCTGCTTATCTTCTGCTCTGATCCCTGGGGGGAAATGAATCTGTCAGGCTGCTTTGTTTCAAACTGAGGTGGATATTGGAGGCCACAGCAGAAGATAGAAATCCATTTCCTGGAGGAGCCCAGGAGCAATTACTTCACTTCCTGAGTGTTTACCTGAACTACCCTGGATCCAGGACTAAATAAAATCGGGCAATAAGCTCCAGTCCCTGACCTGCTGTGGGCTCAGCTCAGCACTGCCCTCGCTGTGCAACTGTGCTTCTGCTGTTGGCAATCTCCCCTCTCAGGGGTTGCAGCAGGGGGTTCCTGCCTGAAGAAAACCACAATTATGGTCATCTTTCAAGCTTACAAAAGGAGCTGCCATTGGTTTCTAAGATTTACAGATGCTGGGTTCTGTAGAGTGATATATCTTTGAAGGGAAAATTGACAGTAGAGCCTCATAAGGCTGTCTCCTGGATGCCACAGAAGCTGAGAAAAGCACTGAATGAAGACAGAGCCTGGCTTGTTCCTGGAGCCAGTGCAGCTCCTTTCTTTCCATCTTTCATGAAACTGGAATATATTTGAAGAAGAGTCTGTCTCCTGTTTTAAAATGTACATGGCACAAAAGGGAGGTCTAGAAAAGTTCTGAATTTTTACAGATAGATTATATTAAAGCTCACCCCAAATAAGGACGAAAAATTTGGGGGTAAAATCAATCTGTGGTGATGCATTTCAGTCTCAGGTGTCTTTTCTGAGCATCTTTCACCTGACTGGTTCTCCTGTACCCCTTTTGCCTCGGATTCTTGAATTCTTAGAGCTGTTTTCCTAGAAGGTGTGCAATCACACTGATGGATCTGTTCCCTCCCATCCTGCCCTAATCTCCCTCTCTGTGTTTATGGCCCCTGTCACTGAACAGATGGTCAAGTGCTGAAAGATCTTTAAATGTAAAGACTTTAGGTTCTTATTTCAATTAAGTGTGTAGGGACATTGTCTTTTACAAGCCAGAGGTTGGAGACAAGGTGACCTTAGAGCAACGTTTATAGTCTTAAAATCTTTGTTTTATGCTGACGTTTTCTACAGTCGGCAGAATTTCATTATTGCAGCTTTGCAAGGAGAAGAGTTCAACAGCTCGAAACACAAGGCCTGTCCTCACTTAATTAAAATAATTGCATCATTTTTTTCCAGATGAGCCCATGAGAACTAACCATCATGGCAGAAGGCAGAGTAATTGTTGTCATTACGTTGGTGCTGCTGGTGGGTCCCAGTTCCACGAATATTCCTCCAAGTGAATGAAGTCATTTAAGGGATTTCACAATCAGTTCATTTTATAATAATGCAACTTATTAAACAGTTTTGGGAAGGCCTGGGAATGCTCATGGCTGTGGTTGTCTAAAGCAGCTGCCTCAGACCTTGCCCACTGAGAATTCCAATATGGAAGGGATGCACCAGGACATGGCTGGCACAGCCACTGCTGCTTGTCCCAGTGGAATTAGGGGCCCTGTAAACTTATGGACACTGCAGACAGATGTACTTCAGTCAAACTGAGTCACTTGAGAAGTATATTCTGAGCCAGTGCACAAATACTGAGCTTTGGAGCATGGTGGGTGAGGCAGAGAAGCCAGGGAATAACCTGCA